TCAAATAGAAATATAACTGTTCTACAATCCATCAAACCACAAGATGTAATATATACAAATGTCCTTGGCACTGTATGTTCCTACTGCCTCTATTTATAAAGAGGACGGAGGGAAATATGATGTTAATAGCTCATTCAATAATTACAAATCCACTCTTGTATAACCTCTCCCCAGATCTTCTCTAATAATGCATTTCTTGCTTGATCTGCCCAGGCAATACAAAAAACTTGGGTTTGAAAATAAATCATATGTTACTCGTACCTCATTAGTCATCTGTAGTGAAGGGAGATAGAAGAAAGACACAGGACCAAGACTAGAGGTGTGTATCGGGGAATCAGGATTGTCATCTCGGTACAGGCGCACCTAAAAACAAAGGAATCAAGACATCACAACACTGCAAACTTGAACTGACATGACAGGGAGAGTATCCTAAGCTTTACTTCCGTTTTTGTAAAGTGTGTAAAAAAGTTTCTATTTTATTGTAAAATTCATTTGTCTGGATTGTAGGCTTAAGCTTGAATGTGCTGTTATAATGGTGAACATTTATGATTAATTTACACATTTTGTCTCTTTTTCTCTTGTCTGATTTGCAGGATATTCAAACAATAACAAAAATCAAGAATTTGAAATGTTCCCACTTTCATGTCTGTAGACAGAGGTATAAGTAATAAAGGAGGATGAAATGAACCTACTCTGTGTGAATCTACTAAAAGAAGAGGTTCTCTTACTAAAGCTTGCTGAAGGATGGTATATTTTATTGCCTCTTGTGTAAAAATTGAGATACAGAGTCAAAAATACTTTCAAATGTGTGGGTAAGTTAAATTTCTTGTGAAATAATAATTACATAAACAAAACTCAGACTTATCCTCAGCACTTTTCAGATACATTAGGATCTGATTTATCTGTGTAATAAAAGATACATAATATTTGTGTTTATCACTTGCATCAAAGCAATGTTTTTGCAACACATAGGAAAAAAGTGTCCATCATGTGACAAATCAAGTCATGTGACATCACGAAAAATGTTTTAATATAATGCTGATAGAAGCCTCTTCAGAAAATTGTTGTATTTCTATACATATCTTGCAAATCTAAATCAAAACCTAGCACACAATGAGTGGCATGCTTTGAGTGCATTTTAAAGCTTCAGACAACCTTAACATGTTGGGTGATATGAGAATTGCTGTACCTTGAGATGTGGGAGGAATTCTTCTTCAGTGACCACATTTCCACTGACGTCCATTTGATTGTTACGGCGGAAGGCAATAATATTGATACCAGTGAAATCAGAGTCCTTAACCTAAAACAGATTTGAACTCTTTGGATAAATATAAGGAGAGTATTTAAAGTCAAACTTTGTTATCTCAAACTCGAAGAGGCCGAGAAAAAAAATTTAAGATCTCTAAGGATTAGAGATATTGATGACTTACTTTGACATATCCATGGTATTCAAGATATTGATGTTAGAGATATTGTACTTACCATATATTATTATCATGAAAAAAAATAAGGAATAAAAAAAAGGAAAATTACAGTACATAGATGCATTCCTTTGAACTTTATACATTAGTTTTTTGGACATACAGTAAAACAATCCCTGACCACTAGTTCCTGGTACTGTGGAGCAGCCTTTTCTATATGTGGATTGACTTCTGACTTCAAACGAATCTGATATGTACACTTAGGCTAAAATTAAACACAATCATTCATTAAAATATTGTATAGTATGAACAGTTCAACTTATAAAATGTCATCAACCACATACATTTAAAAGTATTAGGATAATCATCATGAAATTATGCAGGTATATGTTCATATACATGTGTCAAAGCTAAGCAGTCTAATGGTTAGGGTCATGTCTGACAAGTTTGGTTTACATTCAGTGTCAATGGTTTAAATCCAGTGTAATAAATTGAATCTGCATTTTATATCACAGGTTTTTTGACATTTTTCTCCGTCTCTATTGACTCAAGCTACAGCTGTACTATGCTGGAAATAGGTACACTTCTAGACTGAAGGTGAGAAGGGATGTTCTTTAGTCTCTGATTGACTAAATCCCATCCACTGAAAAACTACAAATCTAATTTGCCTCCCTCCTTGTTTAAGTATGGCCCATGAACTTCCAGATGGGTTGAGTTGGAGAGTTACTCCTCTTGTAAGCAAATACAAAACTCATTAATTCAATAATCCATTGCAGGTTTCACCCATTTAATTTTACATGCACAGGACGTACTGACCTTGTGCAACTTTATAAAGTATCATCACACTTTAAACAGAATCTTTTGTCCTCAGGTCCTATAGGACTTCAAAAAATACCTGCAGTTTCCTGAATTTGAAGGACTTTACACAGGAAACCCTCTTATAATCCTACAAGACTTTATAAGGATTTGCATTCCTCTGATCTTGGAGGATCTTATACAAGACTTGAAGTTCTATAATCCTGTAGCACTTTATAAGGATGTGAAGTCCTCTGATCCTGTAGGACTTTATATAGGACTTCACTTCCTTAATCCTGTAAGACTTTTTACATATCTGCAACCCTCTGATCATGTAGAATTTTATGCAGCACCTGCAACCCTCTGATCTTGTAGGACTTTATACACAATATACGCTTCTTTAATCATGTAGGACTTTATACAGTACCTGCAACCCTCAGATCCTGTAAGATTTTATTTAAGATCTACACTTCCTTAATCCCACAGAAGTTTATTCAGTACATGCAGTCCTTTGATCCTGTAGGACTTTATAAACAATCTACACTTCCTTAATCATGTAGGACTTTATACAGTAACTGCAGTCCTCTGATCTTAGAGGACATTATACTAGACCTGAAGTTCTATAATCCTGTAGGACTTTATACAAGACCTACTCTTCTTGAATCCTTCAGGACTTTGTACAGTACCTGTAGCCCTCTTATCCTGTAGGAGCCATCAGGTTCAGTCTTGCTCTCCTCTTGGTTACACTCAGGTTTGTCACCCACTGCCTCTACAATCACTCCTTGCTCTGCTTCACCATTTAAAGACGTCACAAATCCATAGCAGCTGAAAGGGAATAAAAGTTATTCTTATTCTCGAAGATAGGAGCAGCTGTTACTAATCCTAAAATCAAAAGTAATACTTGTAAATAAAAAAGATGAATGCTCTTATTCTCAAAACAATGATTATCCCTGCAAACATAGCAAATTAAGATAAAATATGTGATGGCTTTGTTAAAACTTTTTAATCACTGTCAAATTTGTCTAATCTGAACGTTGTGTATTCTAAAATCTTGCCTAATACAATGCAAACTTTAAGTCCCTTTCAATAAATTCTATTATTTAAAATGTTCTCAAATCCAGAATGTTGTCTAATTTGGCCAATTTCTTTGGAACCAGTGGAGTCTGGATTACACAAGGCTGAGCATAAAATAAAACAAAGGACCACAGAATAGGAAATTCCGTCTAACCTGTATGCAATTCGGATTCCTTTAATGCTGATCTTCATGGTGGTGCCCTCCAGGACATCGATCATCTGGGAGTTAGGCTCAAACTTGTACTCCTTCATCATTGGACGCAAGTAATACTGGCCGGGGCTCTGTCATCAGAAACAGGGACACAAAATTTCACTTTTATTTCACATTTACACAAATATAAAGAAATCCTTTCCCATTTTTTTTTCTATTAATTTTCTTTATCAAAGGTATGAATTTTTTATTTTGCTATAAAAACCAGCTTACCAGACCAATGAAGACAATTGTTCCATTTTCTCTGGTGACATTATTACTGCGGTACTGCTTTCCTCCACTCAAAGAGAGAAGAACATCAGAAAGAGGCTGATTTTTCTCATCAACAACCTTAAATATATAAATGTACATGTATGTATGCAAAATATATCCTTAAATCTACTTTTCCATGAAATTGATCTAAAAGGTGATAAATTATTTTTTTTTCTTTTAACAATGCACTAACTCATGTTCAGTAAGATATTTACAAAAGGTACAGTACATGAAGTTACTAGTATTCTTTGATCAAGAACCATTATAGAATTTTTTGCATTTATCAAGCCTGCCACACTTTTAACATAGTTTACAAGATAACAATTTATAGAAGTCTTCATTGTATGTCAGGGACAGCTTTATTGAAAGTCATCATAAAAGACAAACTAAGTGATTGGAATGATAGTTTTAAGAAAAGCAATTTGTCAAAATGACAACTCATTGATCACTTTCTTTACCTGGTAACTGTTACTAAAATAATGAACCCTCTATATTTGGCAGAAGTATTGGGAACTGTTTTTTCCCATATTCTATCTCATTGACAAAAAAGTTTAACTTGTTGAGAGAGGATCACAGAATGCAAAGAAAAAGACAGTGTTTAAACCCGTAAATACTGTGAGAAAGAAATGAACAAGGAATCTTTTCAGAAATAGAAAAATTCTCCTGCTAGAACCAGATATGTTCATACAGATACATGTGCACAAACTAAAATAATGAAAGCTTGACAATTTATAACATTTTTAATTTCAGTATGTTGATGAGGTCAATAGCTGTTTGTTAATAGATTATACTTCCAGGATGTGTGATAATTATGAGATGCTGCATTCAATACATGGCACTTAATGGTGAGTTGTACATGTGTACTACATGACCAGTACTAGCTACTGTAAATCAACTTAAATTCATGTGCAAGAAATATCCATGAGTTTGAGACCTTTGCCATGAATCATCACGATGCATCATGATATTTCATCAGAATATTGCAATACATCATGATACACCACATTATCATATTTGATGGTTTCTTCATTATTGTTTTATGATTTAAGCGATAATTAATTTCTCACGTATATTTAGGAATCTACATTACTCTATCTTTTAGAACAAAACATGCATATTATATACTTCCAGAAAGTATTAAAAAAAATTTGATATTTTATTACATGTATCAATGTATCAAATAGACCCCCTCAGCAACACAATGCATGGACATATCAATGAATTGTTACACCTATAGTTATGTTGAATGTTTGCTCAAATTGTGTTAATAGCAAATGGATTTCATAGTTATAAATAGAAATCAAAAGTTATCGGGAATAATATTTGATTTATAGTATTTCACATGATAGTCACCTGAACTGAGATTTCCCCGAGCTTGGATGCTGTGAATACCAATGGTTTCTCTTTCTCCTTCTCTAATACATAGCCTGCCTTCTCTGCTGTCACTTCGTATTCCTTTTCTCTGTGTAGTGGACCAACTCTAAGTGGACAGGTATATAATATCAAACTAAGGTATATAAGACATATATGCTGAGAATGGCATTGCCAAAATAAAAAAAGAAAGAAAGATCTTGCCCAGCTTACAGAAAACCCAACTTAAAAATCATCTTGTTCTCATTTATGGCAAACATTTCCACAAAACTTCATCATGATTGTAAACATATTGAAAACAGTTTTAAAAAAACAGACAAACTAATACATGTACATGTTAACTTCCCTGGTAGGACTACATTTTACATTATTGTTAAGAAACTAAAAATTATTCCATCATCTTTATGAACTTTTATATGTCAAAATCAATGGAAAACATAATTTGACAAAAGCTAACCTATCAGACTTAAAATGACATAAACTTTGACCTACTTGAACTCTCCTGACTCTGGTGTTTCTATGACGATGGGTTCTGCTGAGCCATCTTTATGAGTGACAGTCACAGTTACACCTGCCAGTTTGGGTTTTATACTTCCTGTGATGAAAATTCCTCTCTTACCTACAAATTTTACAGCCTCACCTGGGCAAGTGTCTACAATGTAAAAATCTTATCAATCAGAATTCTATACAAAATTCATGTAAAAAATGAAAAAAACAAACAAACAAACAAACAGTGGTGTTTCATACAAGGAAAAGTACAAATTAAAATTTTACTCAGTTGCATGGTGAAATCTACAGATAGGAAAGGCTTACAAGGCTTTAATACTAATTAATTTGCTTCTATTACCGGTATTAACCAGATACTAAAAAATTACAGGTTTCTGCTAAGGGAAATCTGGTTCAGATAAAATACAGTCAACATGTGATGAGCCAAAGTTTGCCATATGATCTAGGGTCACAGATATAATTTGTAACATAAATGTATGTATATGTTCCATAATATCGATGGATAGCCGAAGATGATATGGGAATTTGTTCTCAAATCATAAATCAAGAATGATCCTAATATCTGAGACAAGCCCGGTCAACAAACAAAGACTGTGAAATTTAATCTACATCATGCACAGATGTTATGGATACTTGAATTGTTTAGAACACAGTTCTTCAACTTTACACTATCCTATCTTTCATTAAGGCAGCATCAGAATACTGCATGGTGTTAATGAATACTTCAGCAGATCATGCAAAATATGACCAAACCTACTGAACACTTCAGCAGATCATGTAAAATATGGCCAAACCTACTGAACACTTCAGCAGATCATGTAAAATATGACCAAACCTACCTCCAACGACTGTGACCTCCACTGAACTTGGGCTGAACAGGAGCTCCTTGGACTTCACTGTGAAAAGCATCTTCTCATTGGATCTAAATATTAAACAGCATAAAAAATTCTGATTTTTAATCAATTCTAAACCAAACATAACACAATCGCAGTTTAAAATCCAGTGTCCTTTAATCATTGCTTTACCTTGCCCAGTGCTGGAACTTGTAGATGAAGGATCCCTTGTTTTCTTCCTTGACAGTGAGAGGACCAAGGGTCACGACCTCACCATCTTTACTGGACCTGTCAACAATAAACAAGTCAATGACCTTACTGAAGCAATACTTATCTGTGTTTACTCAAATTTAAAACAAGGAATGTTTGATTGTTTCATAGCAGCATTAATGAGTCATATTTTCAGTACTGAGTGATTATTTTTTGCAGTTTAAGGTGCCTTCAATCACACAGGGTGCCTATAAATAAAAATAAAGTGATACAGTAAAACTCGGTTATAACAAAGTCTTTGGGACCTGTGAAATTACTTCGCTATATCCGTAATTCCTTATATCCGTATAAGGAATTCGTAAAATTTATATTGCAGGGGATGCAAGAAAACTTCAGTATATCCGTGAATTTGCAATATCCGTGTTCGTACTAAACAAGTTTTACTGTAGTGCATTATGAAAGTTTGTATGCACTTTTATTATTTATTGCACACCAAAATGGTAGAGAAAATCATTTAACACGATAATTACATTCTTTTTCTAATTAATATTTCAAACTTCATTTTCTTAACATCTACATGTATTTTCTCAAATAATTTTTGCGACTTCATGCTATATCACAGTGATGTCAAATTTTCATTCTAATAATGATGATAACATCACACATAGTGCAGAAAGTTTGTAATGCTTTATAATGCACAGACCTTTTAAAGTGTAAAGGTCTGAAATTAATGCAAAATTAGAAAAAATATTCAAAAGCTTTAAGGAGGCACTGATTTTATACACAGGTTAAAAATTGTGTGAAATATTGCTGAATTGAATACACTGTACTACTTACGAGATGTCTATCTGAATATCATTCACTTTTTCCTCAGCTGTTACACTGCCCTCTACTAGATGAGACACTGCTGTCAAGGCCAGTAACTCTGGATTACCTCTAAAATAAAAAAAAATCCTTTTTTTTTTTAAATGAAATTTATTTTCTAAACTAACATTACATGTACATTCTGCCTAAATATTTTGAGAATTCATTTTAAAAATGATTTAATTTTTAGTTTGAATTGCTTCTACAACATTTAAATTTCTATTCAGGTTTCTCTGTTTATACATGTACATTTTTGGGCATTTGGTAAAATAAACAACAAGAGGCCCATGGGCCACATCGCTCACCTGAGCACATTGGCTAGGAAAAAAAGCAAAAATCAGTACAGTATTGAAAAGTTTACAGAGAGGGGGGTGTTGAATTTTAAACTACCTGATGATGCTTTCATATCAATATAACAAATGGCTTTGTTGTTCTTGAGCAGCAGATTTTTTTCCCATATATTCATTTGTAAAAATTTGATCCCCCATTGTGGCCCCACCCTACCCCCCGGGCCCTCATTTGAACAAATTTCATTCTACACTACTGAAAGATGCCTCCATATCAATTTGACTAATCATGGCTTTTCTGTTCTTGAGAAAAAGACTTTTTCCTATATATTCCTCTGTAAACTTTGATCACCCATTGTGGTCCCAACCTATCCCCGGGGTAATGATTTGAACAAACTTGAATCTTCACTATCTGAGGATGCTTCCATATAAATATGACCAATCATGGCTTTACTGTTCTTAAGAAGAAGATTTTTAAAGATATTTTCCTATATATTTCTATGTAAAACTTAGATCCCCCATTGTGGCCCCACCCTACCCCCGGGGGTTATTATTTGAACAAATTTGAATCTTCACTACCTGAGGATGCTTCCATATAAATATGACCAATCCTGGCTTTGCTGTTCTTAAGAAGAAGATTTTTAAAGGTTTTTTTCTATATATTTCTATGTAAAACTTGGATCCCCCATTGTGGCCCCACCCTACCCCCGGGGGTCATGATTTGAACAAACTTGAATCTACACTACCTGAGGATGTTTCCATATAAATATGACCAATCTTGGCTTTACTGTTCTTAAGAAGAAGAATTTTAAAGATATTTTCCTATATATTTCTATGTAAAACTTGGATCCCCCATTGTGGCCCCACCCTACCCCCGGGGGTCATGATTTGAACAATTTGAATCTACACTACCTGAGGATGTTTCCACATAAGTTTCATCTTTCCTGGCCCAGTGGTTCTTGAGAAGAAGATTTTTAAATGATGCCATTATTTTTTCACTAATTCCTAATTATCTCCCCTTGAAAGAGGGCTTGTCCCTTCATTTGAACAAACTTGAATCCCCTTTACCCAAGGATGCTTTGTGACAAGTTTGGTTGAATTTGGCCCAGTGGTTCTTGAGAAGAAGATGAAAATGTGAAAAGTTTACAACAACAACAACAACGCCAACGCCAACACCAACGACAACAACGACGACAGACAACGGACAAATTTTGATCAGAAAAGCTCACTTGAGCCTTTGGCTCAGGTGAGCTAAAAATAGACATCATACGTGTCATAGATATATTCCTCTTTTTCAAACTTGTGACAGGAGTCTGGTCTCAGTTTGTAAACACCAGGCTGTGCTAGACAGAAGCGGTTTGTGCCTTTGTTTAAGTTGAAGGAGCCTACGGACCCAGCTTTCTTGTTATGTTCAAAGTGCTGAAATGAATTTAATATTAACACTTTAAAGTTTCCTTCTTTTCCATTTGTTTGATAATATTTCTATCTTTATTCATTTGCTCACTCTTGTAGTAGCTCTACTTAGACTTGAGTGTTTTATGAAGGTAAATCTGATTTTTTTAAAAAATTGAAACAAATACTTTTAAAGTGTCCTAGCAGTGTAGCTCACATGTACTCACCAGTATGATTTCATGAGAGATTGTACATTTTAGGATATATCCAGTCTGAGTGAAATCTACATTTATGACATCACTGTTCTTCACTTCTATCTCCAGGGTCTTGTCTTTCCAGCACCAGGTGTCATGGAGGAGAGTTACTGCAAAAGATATACATCTAGCCATGGGTTTACAGCTCATAAAGAAAGAGGGACAATAAACTGTGTATATCTAATCAATGTTATCCCTTTTTTCACATTTGTATTTACTGTAAAAGCAGAAATATTCGTTGGGGATTTAATTTCGTTGTTAACAATTAGCAACGAAATTAAATCCCGAACAAAATTTTCATATTGAAAAGGGTTACTTTCAAAACAGCGAATTTTAATGTCCGCAAAACCTTTTTAGATTACAGATCAACAAAATTTTCTCCCCAAGAAAATTTGTGCTTCTAAAGTATACTTCTGATTAAAAATGTAAATAAAGAAAGAATATATCACATACCTTTATATTTTCCAGGTAAAATATTCTCAAACTGGAAAACGGTCCCTTTTGCACCTTCTTTGGCCTAGGATGAAAAACAAACATAGACTTGAATAAAAAAGATTAGAAACTTTTGATAAGAATCCAAATGCTTTTTTTATCACCTGAATATGTTCCATTTTTTCTAGGGATGTCAAAATATTTATTTTCCTTAGTTGATTATTCGATTGCATTCTTTGAACGATAAATGAATATTAAACAGTCAGATACTGCTTATTCGATTATTGATTGCTCTGGCTATCAAAATGTCCTTATACAGTTTAAAATGTAAGCAAATTGTTTTGATAATTATCGAAGTGTCAAAACATGTCACAGTTATGGTTCTTCCTTGCGCTTGAGTAATCTTTAAATAACAAAAAATAATTGGTACATGGTATAAGATCAAGTCCAAATTATAATTTTACAAACAAAGCCTAGTAAATTGGTGGGTAATTAATTACAAAAACAACACAGGCAGTTACCGATAAATAATTCCCACAGTATGCGGCAGTAGGAAAGCACTAATAATTACTGTACTTTCTATACGTACATGGAAAATCAACCATTTTTTGTTGAGGAAAATTATCTTATCGACTGTCTCTGAGGAAAGACGGTTTCTCAATTTTGTGATGAGAATTCCATCACGTTATCACTCTTTTATTGCATTTATTTAATTATGATAATATTCGAATGTTGTTTTATTATTCGATCGTCGGTCCATTCGACTAATAGTAGAATAGTCGACTATTCGTTGACATCCCTAACTTTTTCCTACCTCTCTTATAGATGCAAATTCCAAAGGACTTAATAATACATGTAGCTATCATATTCATAAAATCACACAGCTATGTTAAGGCTGTCTGAAGGCTTAAAATGCATTAAAAATATACATTTTATTTTGAGCTAGATTTCAATTTCAATATGTTATCCATGTATGAATTTGCAGTCAATTTGTAATAAGAGTTTAATCAGGTATATAATAAAGCATTTTTGTGATGTCACATGACTTTGTTGATCACGTGATGGGTACTTATGAATTCTTAAATGTTGCACAAAAATTGCATCGGCACAAGTGCAAAACAAAATTATTGTGAAAGGTTTGTTACAAGTCAATACATCGTGATCTCTGGTACATATAAAATGCTGGGGGCAAGTCTGAATTTTACTTCCTAAGAAAATATTTGACGAAGAAATTCAACTTACCCACAAAAGACGGGGCATTTTCCACTCTTTGTCGCAATTTGTACAAAATAGGATAAATTACATACAATCCCCCAGCATAATTCAGTTAGAGGGCATACTTCTCTTGCAGATTCACACAGAATATCTTTAATTTATTCTTATTAATCACTTGTGCAAGTCAAATATATACACGATTCATAATTTCTAACTCTGTCTACGGACGTGTAAGGGGAGTGTTTCACATTTAATTTTTTTTAATTGTTTCAATATGTGCATATCGGACAAGCAAAAGGAAAAACGATATTAAAATACAAATGTTCAACATTATAACAGCACACTGGAGCTAAAAAAAAACATTCTCGACACTTAAATTAAACAACAATGCAAAAAAAAATCTACATGTCAGGTGAAAGGAATGTAAAAGTTATGACACTTTCCCCGTGATGTCAGCCCAAGTATGCAGTGAATTGACCTAATTTGCTATTATGACGTCATATCTAAGTCGTTCAGAGAAGTTACTACCGTTGGAACAGTTTGATATTTTACGGACAGCCTTATTCTATCCACGCAGTTTATATATGCATCATCTGTTTGTTCAAATGTAGGCAATATTGTATCAAGATACCATATTTTTTTTCTAAAATTTTGAAATCACTGCAAGGGTAAAAATCTTGAGATTTTCAATGTTTCTTTGCATCCACCTTATGATGTATACTGAGGAATAACAATATTTCCTGGGGGGATCAATCTTCATGGATTTCATGGGTACCTCTTTAGTTAAATCTGACAGACCTGTGTAATCTGTTTGTTGTCACTTCTGCTGACAGGACTCAAGGAAACTTCCATTCCACCACACTTCTCTAAAACAAAATTGCACACCTTGTAAAACATCAAACTGTGATTCAATGACATTTGTCATAAAAACATTATATATATCTATAATAGACACTAGAACTTAAAGTTTTTACAGTGATAACTACAAGTAAACTTCGGTATCTCGACATCGGATATGTCGACAACCTGGGATATGTCGACGTCCGTCCGAGGTCCCGGCAGTATTTACTATATAAATGATTTGCAAAAACTCTGATATGTCGACCTCGGTAATCTCAACAACCCTAGTTATCTCGACATATATTCACAGTCCTAAGAGCAAAATTTACTTGGTGTATGTCGACATTGGCAATTTTCTGCTCCACTGAACCTAACTGTTTGTTAGATAGGGTGGCTCTTCACGCACGGACAGCTCCGGGTATCTCGACGTCGTCAAAAAATTCACACCTTTCACACCCATCTTTTTACTGCACGCTGCTTCATTAATTCTACAGACTGTGTTTGTAGGTAAATCCAAAGCCCCCTCGGCGTCTTTGAGACGTTAATTGCTTAATGTTCAGCTTGGGTAATATCACTGATAAATCTACACGATTCTGCTTAAATTTACAGGTGTTTATTTATGTCGAAACCTAACATAACTTTTAAAATTGAAAAAGATAACTAAATTACAAAGAATAATAAACATATTGAATAAATTCAAACTAATAATTTAAACGATGTTCTTATAATATTTTGTAGTTAAAATGCATTCAACAGGAAATAATCCGATTAACGACACGATTAACCGAATCATCCGTAATTCATGCATCTGTAATATCACTACGTTAGTTTAGATACACAAATCTCTTAAAAATTAATATTAATGCACATTCTTCCTGAATGAAATAAGGAAAAAAAATAATTACGCATTTAATATGTTTTCGTATCTTGAATGTCGACTTTATCATGTTTATATGGTTCGGTCTGAAGTTTATAGAGCGCATTTCGTATCCTGTTCTGACATAAAAGCAAGTAACACGCGAATGCTGGATGGAAAACTACAAAAATTTAGAACGATTTCGATAAAGAGAAAGAACAGGTTTTATAAATAAGATTTTTAAAAATAACTTCTTAGATTTTTAATAAAAATAGAGGGATTGCTGAAATAAGTTGACCTACAGTCTACATTGAAGTCATGTACGTATAATAAGCTTATACACATGTATGTGTTTGGTTATGCAGTGAAATCTTGGACGTCAAGTCTCAACTCTGATATCTCGACACCTCGGATATCTCGACATTTTCCGATGGTCCCGTCGATGTCGAGATAATGAAGTTTACCTGTATTTAGCTATTATATTAATGGTGAGATCTCTACCTAAGCACTTGATGGAGCCTGACAACTTGGCCCTGAACTGTGAAAACACAATATCCAGGACTGGAGCATTCTGTACTGTGATCTCTTTCTCACTGGGAACTAACTGAAGGCCTGCCTTAGTCTCCTCATCTGTCAAGTGTACCTACCAAAGAAAATAAATCCATTGTTAGAAACCTACAAATAAACCAGACCTTTTCTGAGCAGGTCCAAAGGGCCCTGTCACACCAAGCTGCATCAACACGGAGTTATTACGGCGTTGTTAAATTTTTAAAATTGCATTGGAATCGCAGGGAAATTGCACAAATTTCTGTAAAATTTTCAAAATGTGAAGATGTCACGGCGTCCCTACGGCAACCCACACGTTTCTACGGCGTTCTCGCCGCGTGCTACTGCGTTCCCAAGGAGATCTCTTCACGATTGACTTCGCTTCCACGGAGCTTTTACGGCATATTAGGAGTTGTCACCTCACGTTCACGGCGTTCTCAATACGTTAACAATGCATTCTTCACCATGGATATATATTCAGAAGGACTGTAACACATCTTTTTTTAAGATTCAAGTCACATGACCAAAAGACTTCTACTTATGCCAAGAAATATTCTTGAATTAAACATAGGTAATCAAAGATTACGAAGCTCACCTCGACGAATGTTATCTACATGTAAGGCAAATTTCACATCATATTTTTTTTCTAGTCAGGGTACATCCCAAGATCAATATCCATGCAAGTTTGATTTAATTATAGACCTGCTCAAAAAACTTTTGACCTGTTTAGTAATCAAGAAAATTTTGGTCAGTTCCAACATCCAAAGCAAGTCTGGAAGTTTTCATCCTTAGATGCACCATCTATGCAAGTCTAATCATAACAGGCCATAATATTATATAGCTACTCCAAAAAAATTACCCTGGTCATTCATCTGGAAAATGTACGTCAGATTCAGAATCCAAGACAAGTCTGGAAGTGTCCATCCCTAGATACATCATCCATGCTAATTTGGTTAAAATATGGCTAAAATTCACTCATGTGGAAAATCTAGGTCAGATCCAGCATTCAAAGCAGGTTGGTTAGTGTACATCCCTAGATGCATCATCCATGAAAGTTTGGTCCAGGTAGGGCTTATAGTTACTTGGGAACGAGACTACTCCTAAATCTAAACCTGGTCACTCATCTGGAAAATCTAGGTCAGATCCAGCATCCGAAGCAAGTGTGGTAGTGTCCATCCCTAGATGCATCATCCATGCAAGTTTGGTCCAGGTAGGCTTATAGTTACTTGGGAATGGGACCTGCTCCTAAAACTTTAACCTGGTCACTCATCCAGAAAATCTAGGTCAGATCCAGCATCCGAAGGAAGTGTGGCCATGTCCATCCCTAGATGCATCATCCATGCAAGTTTTGTCAAGGTAGGGCTTATAGTTACTTGGGAATGGACCTGCTCCTAAAAATTTAATCTGGTCACTCATCCAGAAAATCTAGGTCAGATCCAGCATCCGTAGCAAGTGTGGTAGTGTCCATCCCTAGATGCATCATCCATGCAAGTTTGGACAAGGTAGGGCTTATAGTTACTTGGGAATGGGACCTGCTCCTAAAACTTTAACCTGGTCACTCATCCAGAAAATCTAGGTCAGATCCAGCATCCGAAGCAAGTGTGGTAGTGTCCATCCCTAGATGCATCATCCATGCAAGTTTGGTCCAGATAGGGCTTATAGTTACTTGGGAATGGGACCTGCTCCTAAAACTTTAACCTGGTCACTCATCTGGAAAATCTAGGTCAGATCCAGCATCCGAAGCAAGTGTGGTAGTGTCCATCCCTAGATGCATCATCCATGCAAGTTTGATCCAGGTAGGGCTTATAGTTACTTGGGAATGGGACCTGCTCCTAAAACTTTAACCTGGTCACTCATCCGGAAATCTAGGTCAGATCCAGCATCCGAAGCAAGTGTGGTAGTGTCCATCCCTAGATGCATCATCCATGCAAGTTTGATCCAGGTAGGGCTTATAGTTACTTGGGAATGGGACCTGCTCCTAAAACTTTAACCTGGTCACTCATCTGGAAAATCTAGGTCAGATCCAGCATCCGAAGCAAGTGTGGTAGTGTCCATCCCTAGATGCATCATCCATGCAAGTTTGATCCAGGTAGGGCTTATAGTTACTTGGGAATGGGACCTGCTCCTAAAACTTTAACCTGGTCACTCATCCGGAAATCTAGGTCAGATCCAGCATCCGAAGCAAGTGTGGTAGTGTCCATCCCTAGATGCATCATCCATGCAAGTTTGATCCAGGTAGGGCTTATAGTTACTTGGGAATGGACCTGCTCCTAAAACTTTAACCTGGTCACTCATCTGGAAAATCTAGGTCAGATCCAGCATCCGAAGCAAGTTTGGTAGTGTCCATCCCTAGATGCATCATCCATGCAAGTTTGGTCCAGGTAGGGCTTATAGTTACTTGGGAATGGGACTTGCTCCTAAAACTTTAACCTGGGACGCCGACGCTAACGCCGACACCGACGCCGACGCCGGGGGTACAGCATAAGCTCATCTCGACTTCGTCGAGGTGAGCTAAAAATGATCTATTTGAATAATTTAGTACTAAATTATCGATAGTTTTATTATTTAAACTGTTCCTTTTTTTAATTATATCAATTCAAATGTGTTTTTATCTTTTCTTTGATTTTATTATGAATGTAAAAAATAAACACACTGAAAAGTTGTTACAAAATTTAAGTAATTCCACCGCAACTCCACTGAAACAACAGAACAAGTTCTGGTGTAATTTTTACTTCCCAATTCTACTCCCATGCTCCTGGTCAGATGTGCAACAAATACGTTAGAATCATTGCTGATAAAATATGTGAGCTGGTTGACAATGCTCTAACAACACCGTGAAAGCCCATTGTGACAGCCAACGGACGCAGCAGAAACGCCAAAGGAGCACAATGGTCGCAGTGACAACTCCTTGTTGTCGCTGTGTAATCGCAGTCAAAAAAATCACAAGACAATTAATCTCATTAGAAGCACCGTTAAAGCGCAACAGAAACGCAGTGACATCTCCAAGGACTCCGCGAGGTCTCCGTGGAAGCGCAGTCTACTATCACTGCGTTCATGCTGTGATCATGTGCGTCTTCACAGCGTGCGTACGGAGCTCCCACTGCATTGTTGGAGATCTCACAGGGCTGCTACGGCCATCATACTTCGTTTCTACTGCGTTCTTATCAGACCGCAATCATATGGCGCGCACTTTGTGCATGCCCAAAGTGCACGCCATCCCCTAGCATTCTAGGAGACCCTACCCCATTCAGTGGACAGGGGTTTAAAGAACATCTTAAACAAAATATATTCACACTTACAACAAAGTGATTTTCATTTCCTATGGGTTTAAACTTGACAGATTATGAGATACAATGAATTATATTAATAACAAATCAAATTTGTATGTCTCTGGCACTTCCCTATAAGCACTTTTTACTGTAAACATGAAATCTTTGTAATATTTTTAGAGGTAATTTACAATGTTACCTGACACTTGACCTGTCTCTTACCTTGACGATATATTTGCCTGGTTTGACCTGGGAGCAGAATTTACCCTCACTGTCGGTCAATACAGACTCTGCATCTGAGGCCTTCCCTTGGGGGTAATAAATTACTCTCCTCTTAGCAGACCCCTGAACACCATCTGGTAATTTATCAATGATGACCTGACCACACATGTGAAACCTGAAGTGAATTAAACAAGTTGTCTTATACTTATTAAACCTTTGTACCTGCTTGTGCCCCTATCCTTGATCCTGGGAAAGGGGGACTGACTTGAACACACTTTTAATCTACATATATTACATGGGGATGCTGACATATCTATTTGACAAACTGTGGACCTGTTGTTCTTGAGAAGAAGATTTTGAAAGATATTTCCCTATATACCTCCTTGTCAAACTTCAGCCTCCTTTTGTGACCCTACCCATCAGCTTATGCAGGGCACTGGAGTCAAGATTTGACTTCTTTTATGACCCTACCCAAGGGACTGAGGCCAAGATTTGATTAATTTGATTCTTTACTGCATAGTAATGCTGGCATATTAGTATTACTAATTGTACAAGAAGATTACCCAAGATAAACTTTGACCCCAAATTGAAGTCCACCCAAGCCCTGGAGGCCACGGCTTGAAAAAACTTGAATCCCCACTACAAGTGGATGATGGTATATCAATGTGACAAACTGTAGGCCTTATGCACTTGAGAAGGTTCTTAAGGATCTTCCCCTACATATTTCTATAGCAAATTTTTAACCAGTTATGCCCCCTGTTTTGAACAGACAAAATTAAATCTCCACTTCAAGAGGATCTTTATTCCTTAATATGTGTAAATGTAGCCATTCTGTTCTTTATTTCCAGTCAAACATTGACAAACCCTTTGCTAGGAGGCCATGATTTGAACAAACTAGATGCTTCACTACATGGGGTGTCTGTATATTAATTACTATTTGCAGTCCTTCTTTGTTGAGAAGAAAATATTAAAGATTTTTTCCCTTTTCCATTAAATCCTATGTATAACTTTGACTCCCTCCTGTGGCCTCTTGAAATGGGATGTGCCCTATATTTGAAGAAACTTGAATATCTACCACTCAAAGCTGCTTTATGCCAAGTTTGATTGAAATTAACCCCGTATTTTGGATAAGAAGTTGAAAATTTGAAGTTTAGAGATCACAGGCTATGAATGACAGACAGACAACGGACATTCTTTGATTAGAAAAGCTCTAATGAGCCTATGACAAAGACTAGTTAAATATTCCTAAAAGATATTCAAATAACTTTACCACTTGTACAGTACATGTAAATAAACAAGACATGAACTCCTATACCATATTCCCCTCCAGTCCATTTGTATACTGACCCTGATGCTATGATGTCTTGTATCTGAGGGGTATTCGGAGTAATCTTAACACTGATCTCATCAAAGAAGACATTATCCTTCTGGACCTGTATTCTGTATGTCCCCGTCTTCATGTTCTCTAGGTGGTACTTCCCGCCTGCTTCTGTAGTCGCCTGCTGCTTACCGTCAATCAAAACTTTGGCTCCTCCTACTCCACTTCCCTTGTAAACCACACGTACAAATTATCCATACCATGAGGTTATCACATGTACAATCCTTAATCAATGCACATTCCTTTATTTTATGAAAGATTACTGGTCAAACCATAAAATTCAGGTTTTTGCTAAAAAAGACTAAGAGTACTCTACAACTTACATGTTAATAATATTATGTGTGTATTTATAAATCATTATTTAATGGATAATATTCCTAACACAGTAGTTATTTTAATCAACACTGTCATACCTTGCTGCTCTCTAGAACTTTTCCAGTTACAGAAAATCCTTTCACCTGGAAAACCTCCTGCAAAAAGTAAGTTTCATATCTCCATCTAATTAAGCATACACGAAACAAAACTCATCACAGTTTGAAAAAAAGAATTTTTAATTTGATATCAACTTTATTAAACAATTAAATATCATATTATCTTCCCAACTACAGTAAAACTTGTCTAATCCGGCGACCAGTGGTTCCAAAATTTTTGGCCGAATTAGACGACATCCGGATTGGAGAAAATTGAACCATTATAGCAAGTTAAAAATTACATAGATATAAACAGAGAGTGGTAAATAAATACTTGATCAAATGTGTCATTTTTTACGTTTCACTTGAAAAAAAAAATCGTCTATTTCCGTTTGTTTTAAACTCTGTTTGTTCTTCAGAATTTTCATTTCTGTTTAAGTTTTTTATTCATTAACGAAATATAATATCTCTTGGTCATTTATTAAATTTGAAAATCGTTAAATGTTTTAAACACACTCCAAAACCGCATCGTAGCTGTAAATATTATTTTGTTAGGGACAGATTCCTAATTAATTTCTTTCTTTTAAAATTAATATGACTGAATATTTAGATACTTCAAATGTTATAATGAATATTGAACCAAAATCTTCTGTCGTTATGGTCGTTGTAAACTAGCGACACAAAGGGAAGTAATTCTAATTGCACGTCGTGCACACAAAACGAAAGTAGAAAGGAGGTCATGAACAAGTCTCCAAGTTTTTCTACAGACATGCCACACACAGCCATCACTATTACTCGTTCTTTTGTGAGTTAATTTCTTCGCCTTACTTGAGCCATTAATATTTTTTAATCACGTTTGTTAAAATCTAAACTGTCGATACCTATAGATCATTAACGGGACAATAATTACCCCACGCGAGACTTCTCTAATGACCAGCGGGCACAGGTAAAAATAAGTGGCCGGATTAGAGGAGATAATTTGTACTAATTATGAGCAGTTAGTTCTTTAAATAGCAGCCCGTTTACAGAATAGGCAAGATCCGGATTGAACAACATTTATTAAACATAAATTATAAAGAAAATTCGGGGACTAAAATATTACGCCGGACTGAACAACATGCCGGAATGCACAACATCCGGATTCAACAAGTTTTACTGTATAACTTTTTAAAAATACATTCTCCAATGAATATATATCAAGCTTGATAGAACTATAAGATGTTATCTTCACCAAAACAGTATATAGAACATTGTATTGTACATAAACAGCTTATCAGAACTATCATATATCTTTACCAGAATAGTAAATAAAATGTGAGTATTGTATATAAATGAAATGTGAGTATTGTATGAGTATGATATATCTTTACCGGAATAGTAAAGGGACTGTGAGGGACATGAAAGTCAAGCTTTCCTGGGGCCACATCAAAACGAATGTGTTCTCCTTTATAAAATGGTACCTGCAAAATACATGTGATTGGTACAATTTAGATGAAACAGAAAAAGATAAAATACGATACAGGTAAAAGCATTTCAAGATATGTATCTTCATTATCCACAGTTATGGTCCTGTAGTTAAGCACATGTAAAAACACATTGGTATGTACAGTACACGTACATGTATTTATACAGATATTTTTTAAAACAGACTTTGACTTCAATATATGTTTTCATACTTGAATAAAAATGCATTTTTTTTTATAAACATACTATACCACTGGTTACATGTTTGAACTTGAATTAATGAACATTATTTAAATATCCTTCAAGTTAACACTTTTTTCTGTTATGTATAAATAGACAGATATAAAAAGAAATTTACAATAAAAAAGTCCCCCACTGGCAGGGATGGAAACACGAAAGATCCGTCCTCACCGGACACAACATAACAGAGAGGGGAGACAGGCTCGGAGTGGGAAAAGCTGGAGGGGATGTCGTTCTTACAGTCCGAGATGTCCTGAAATTAAAGTCATCTACGTAGATAAAAGTACACTGGTACCAGTTTACTGATGAGACTGATACATGAAGAAAAATAAAATATTCCTTCACTGGAAGGCCTTCAGTGATACCGGTATATCTACCACACTGTATCGTAGAATATGGTGTAATAGTGATAAAGATTATGTGTACCTCTTTTTTGAACTGTTTTGAGAACAGAATGAAGTTAACTCCCTTGATGGCTTCACCTTCACTCTGCACACGACCCTAAAGAAAAAATATACATCTATCATATTGCTAAAATTGGGTTGATCTGATGCCAAAAGTGGAAAATCAAGTTAGTAAGAACTAATTTTTTTTACAATCAATTTTGATTATCTTTTTCTCTGCTGGAATGTTCATTGTTTTTTAAAAATATTTTTTATTGTCTTATCCAAAAATCCTTACAGTGACTTGGTATCCAGAGATGACCACTGAACTAGGCACATTGACATTGTCTCTCTTCACTGTAAACTTGGCCTCACTCTGTAAAGAACCAGTGAAAAAACTGTACAAATCATTTAAGTAAAAGAAATTTTACATGCGAGATGATCTATCCATCTTTTGATATAATGTTACCTGTGTGAATTTGTAACCATCCTTTAGGTACAAGACAAGTAACCTGTGAGATTGACATAAATTAGGTATATGACTTAACCTCTGAGAACTTGTAATCATCCTTCATGTTTTAGAAATGTTACCCTTGAGATAACCATCCTTTAAGCATAGGACATGTTACCTGTGAGATAACCATCCTTTAGGTATATGATGTTTTACCTGCCTGTGAGATAACTGTTACCTGTGAGATAACTGTATCCTGTGAGATAACTGTTACCTGTGAGATAACTGTATCCTGTGAGATAATCATCCTTTAGGTATACAATGTTTTACCTGCCTGTGAGATAACTGTTACCTGTGAGATAACTGTATCCTGTGAGATAACCATCCTTTAGGTATATGATTTAACCTGCTTGTGAGATAACTGTTACCTGTGAGATAACCATCCTTTAGGTATAGGATGTGTTACCTGTGAAATAACTGTTACCTGTGAGATAACTGTTACCTGTGAGATAACCATCCTTTAGGTATAGGATGTGTTACCTGTGAGATAACTGTATCCTGTGAGATAACCATCCTTTAGGTATATCATGTTACCTGCCTGTGAGATAACTGTTACCTGTGAGATAACTGTATCCTGTGAGATAACCATCCTTTAGGTATATGATGTTACCTGCTTGTGAGATAACTGTTACCTGTGAGATAACCATCCTTTAGGTATAGGATGTGTTACCTGTGAGATAACTGTATCCTGTGAGACAACCATCCATTAGGTATATGATGTTACCTGCTTGTGAGATAACTGTTACCTGTGAGATAACCATCCTTTAGGTATATGATGTTACCTGCTTGTGAGATAACTGTTACCTGTGAGATAACTGTTACCTGTGAGATAACTGTTACCTGTGAGATAACTTTTACCTGTGAGAACTTGTATCCTGTAGATGTGGCCTGTACGGTATAGTCTCCTGGCATCACTTTGGAGAATGAGTAGGCCCCGCCTTCTCCGGTGGTGGTGGTCTGGAGAACAGAGGTGGTGCCTGTCTTCAACAAGGTTACAGTGACTCCTTCTGGACCATCAGACTGACCCTTACTAATCACCTGCAGTAAAATTAAAAAGATTTTATTTAAAAATGAAAAGTTTACTTGATTGATACTTTACTAAGTTACTGGTCAATGGACAAGATTGAGGTTTATTTTACTTCAGACAAGTTAATATATATGATTACAAATAAATCTGAGTACCTTTTCATAAATACCTGAAATTCATCAATATCAATCACATGATTGATAAAATTGAAATCGCTGAAACTTTAAAAAACCTGTAAATCAATTTTTAACACCCTTTATATATCATTTTGCTCAATTCTGATGCAAAATCTAAAAGATGCTGTTAAGAATAAATTTCATTATGTTTTTGCTGGTCTTCAGAAAATGAGAATCTGTAATTCCAGTCTTGGTTCCATTTGCTACCGAAGAAGACATGCTATTTGCATTCATGTCTAGAATGCAACCTTTGAGTGAGAAAATTGGATAAAGAGATCTCGCTTCAACTGAATGATTCCAGAACAATACTGTTTTAGCAAATTGCCTCCACTCCTCATAAGTGAAATGAATAAAAGAAATTTTACACCATAATAAAAGACAGCAAGCATTATATCTGATGGGGAGGTTGTCCAAGAATAACAAGTCTGCTTCTTTTACTCTATATTTTTTAGTCACATATGACAATTCATTCCCTGTACAAGTAACACAAATGTATCAGCCAGCATCATCAATAATCTAGACATTTCTAAACTCCCTGCATAAATATATCTGTACTTTCTATAGAAAACTTTAACACATTATCAGGGCCTTTTTCTGTCTATCCTGTTTAGTGAACATTGGTGAATGGATCACCTACATTTTTTCAAACTAAAAACCAAAATATCCTCTTCTTTCTTTGGAACTCCTTCTACTTTTTGGAGTTCAATAGTACTTAATTTTCTTTGAGAATAGCACAGTAAAATCGATTGACAAATCTTGCATGGATGATGTCACTAAGAATGCACCTGCTATTAGTCATAACTTGCATTCTGGAAGTAACCATATTTCTGGATGTTGATCATCTTTTTTGGAGCAGGTCAGTCTTCAAAAACTTTAAGTCCAACATTGACCAAGTCCTTCAAAATTGTTGCATGTATGGATGCATTTCTAGCCGTGCTTTGGATACTGCATTTGACCTATACTTCAGGATGAGTGAATGGATTAAGATTTTTGAATTCATTCAAACCATTGTCCTTGCAACTCCTAATTTGAACAAATCTGCATTAAATAATAGTTAAGAATTACGCTTTGCATGCTGTGTGTGACCTAGACTGTTTTGTTTCTGCATGTGTAAATATGATACCTTTTTTTCTCTAAATCAGTAATGATACATACCATGCTCTGGAAGCTTCATTTTTTTAAGCATGTCAAATCCAGATTTACTATACAATTAATTACCCCTTATGAGGTCAACGTGGTGAAATAAGGACCCGATACTTGGCCCACGAGGTGACCTGACCTGACCGAGGCCGCGTAGCGGCCGAGGTCAAGTCAGGTGAGTGAGTGGGCCAGGTCGAGTGTCCTATTTCACCATGTTGAACTCATAAGGGGTAATCAATTGTTTTATTATACCGATATAAGTTAAGACAATTAATGTTGTAGGCTTAATTACTAAAATAATCAAATGTGTATAAAAACCTACGAACTGTTATTATCAGTGTTCCATCGGGATCGGGATTCGCTAGTGAAGTTGTTTACTTTTCGCCTGCAAGTCTTGTAAGTTTTTGCACTGCCGATTTATTAAAACACTCTGTGATTGTCAGTAACATGCACTTTTACAAATTCACAAGTACCATTCCCTAGTACAATGACAATCTGGTGCAGACTTTTACTGTACAAAAGAGCTGAGTCTGCATTTGTTGAATTTGACTTGTAACGAAAATTTCAATGAAAACAATATATTTTACGACGCATCTAAAGGCCAATCATATTCTGTATCGTAAAAAGACTAAACATATTTTTATAACGGCATTTTTTGTGATGAACAATCATTAATGTATGCATAAATTTTTAATTTGAATGGAATTTGGATTAACAGGTCATTTTTAGCGGTCATTATACCCCACATGCAAAGATTCTTAGGTCATTATTGCTGTAAACAAGACTTTTTGGAGTCATTATTGAGTTTAAAAGCCTTCTAATAAGCCAATCTAATTTGAGTATTCTTAAAAGAGGTATAATAATATAAGTTGTATGTTGACAAAATGTTTATATTTTAACCAATAATGCTTACTACCAGTGACACCTATCTATTTGACCTAGCTACATGTACCTGATATTTTCATACATGCCAATGAAAGTTGTTTCCCAAGATTCTTTGGTACGTATACTGGTGTCTCACATTATCACAGAACTTAAAAAGTTAGAGATTAAAATCTTATTTCCCAGCAAATAAATAACTTTTAATATTTGAAGTTATCAGCTGACATATTAAGCTGAAAATTAACATCTAATGTCTTTTCTGGACTCCGGTTATATATTTGTCTATTCAGTTTGATGACAAATAACAAAGGTAAAAAATACTGGTACCAAAGAAAAGGTCATGTCACAAGAAATACATAAGTGAAATATAAAAGCAGCCATTCAAAGTTATAGGCAAGGTTAAAGTTTTTTTTTTCCAAATTACCTGGGTAGGTCAAAGGTCAAGCTCATGTGATCAAAACTGTTGGTACCCAAAGAAAGTTATTGTCATTAAGAATACATCTATAATATTGAAAGCCCTTGTACCCACAATTCAAAAGTTATGGCCAAGGTTAAAGTTTTTTTCACAAGTAGGTCAAACTCAAAGGTCAAGTTCAAAAGGTAGAAAATGTAAGTACCCAAAGAAAGACCTGGTAACATGAAATATATGTATGAAATATAAAAGCCCTGACACAAATAATTGAAAAGTTAAGGCCAAGGTTAAAGTTTGGTAAAATTTTGCAAAAGTAGGTCAAACTCTAAAGCTAAGGTCAAGAGGTCAAATATGTTGGTATCCAAAGAAAGGTCTTATTACAAGGAATACACATATAAAAGCCCTTGCACCAACCATTCAGAAGTTATGGGCATGGATAAAGTTGTTCGCAGACAAACAGCTTAACAGGCAGACAAAAAGACTGAAATACCAAAAACTATATGCCCCTGAATCTTCAATTATTGGGGCATAAAGCGTTTTCAACTTCTGTAACTAAAAATGTCATGATATATTGCAACCCTATATATAATGAGAATGAAGTTAACATATATATTGTTTTTCTTTTGGTTGGTGTTATTCCTGTTGGCCAACAACTGAATCTGTACATGTATATACTTTCAACTTGCAATTTGAGATTACATAAAACACTCATGCTTTGAAAGTTACAACCCTCGAGTTTACAGATGACCACTTATAAAGCCTTTTAAGCACCCTGTTCTAATGTACCTATCAGTCAAATTATGAAAATCTTAGATTACCCATTTTGTCTTCAGTCAGAGACGCACATCAACGTATGCATCTAAAATTTCATCTGCATTGTTTAAATAAAACAAATTGAAGTAAACAACTACCAGTGATAATATAAATGTTTACCTTTCCAGATACTGTGAATCCCGTGAATCTAAAATTAATGTCCTCCCCACGACTACATTTATCTGTCTCTCCATCCACCTTCAGACTGTAGCTCTCTGGTTCTGTTTATAAATAAATACATCACAGTGGTACAGAATAAATGCACTGACATTAAACCAGAAGTCTCTGTCGAGAATGTAGCTCTCTGGTTCTGTTTATAAATAAATACATCACGGTGGTACAGTATAACAGCACTGACATTAAAAACTTGTGTCATTTACAAATTTCAATTGGCTGTTTTAAACATCCAAAAATAATAATTTTGCAATGGCTTCTGACATGCCCATCACCAATTTCACTAAGTTATATTAACTTGTCTGAGAACTTTCCAAGTATTCAAAAAAGTCTTACTATATTTTCTTAAGTAATTAACACAACCTATGAAATGAGATAGATACCAAAGCTCCATCCTTTAGGTGGCTCTACTTTCAGAATAAAATCAGCCTTCTCATACAATGGAATCAGATAATATCCAGTATTTGGGGCACAGTCTGTCTGGTACTTTATGCTGCCATGTGTTGTGTAAAGTTTTACCTTCAAATTATAAATAATTGATACAAATATTATTAAAACTTAAATTTTGTTTTTCTACGTAAAAAAATTAAAAGGGTCTGTTTTTTCAAGCCCCATACCCCAAAAATGTCAAAATCAATAAAATTCTAGACCTTCATATTTCATCAAGCCAGTGTTCTTATTTCAAAGATTTCTTGCATACAACAGAATGAAGACAGTAAAGACTTATTCACCACCCCTTTGTTGTTTACAGTAAACATAAAAACATAGATGTTCTTGTCATTTGATAAGAATCTAAATTAATTGAAATGCAATTGATTTGTGTGCATCAGGTGGACCCTTGATGAAGTGGGCCTTACTATGCTAAATTATTTTTTAAAAAAGCAGTATGAAACTGCAAAAACACTTCATAAGTTATAATATGGAATCAATTAACCAAATGCTTGATAAACAGGTCTAGCCCAAAGACTATTTCTACTACATAGATATTAATAGCTACCTAGGTATTTAAACCTACTAAAAGCTACTTCTACCTACTTTTATTTCTCTTTAAAAACAGAAATAAATAATAATTAAGGTGCATCTTTAAAACTAGTCAGACTTGTTCTTTACCAAATTTTGGTCGTAAATTTGTAAACTTTACGAGGGTGGAGACTGGAGAGGAAATGAATGAAGAATCATCCCGAAACATTTTTATTTAAGGATGCATGAAGGTAAGTTTTAGAAGTTTTAGTAGTAATACAGATTTTTAAGACATTTTGAGACATTTTAGGCTTCTCGCTACAGGAACTGGATGTAGTTACTGGTGCATAATTGATTAGTTAGCTAGTAACCAATTTTTGGCCAAAATTTTTGTTGTCTTCATTGTCAGCGTGGTTGTATGAAGAAATTTGGTACATACCATTTTGGCCACAATCATCTTAATCAAAAAGTAGTTAAAAATAGCTACCTGGAGTAGGTTTTAATACCTAGGTAGCTATGAATACTTGAGGAGGTAGAAATAGTCTTTTGACCTGATAAAAAGTGTATGAATGTAAGGCTAACAAAATTAATAATTTTTAATATGTGTCAGGATACCATTGTTTTACAATGTCAGCGCTGTCAAGTATCCCTCAAATATGTGAAAATATTTAGATCACATCACACCTGATGTATTTAAGCAAATCAGATCAAATTCAAATAAAAAATGTATTGATCCAAAAATCAAGGCAATGAATCAAACACTGAAATCGACTTTATCAAGCATTTGTATTAAACAGTATTCATATTTTGGTGAATAGTTTCAGCACTAACAACTATGCCCTTGAATGCTTCATAGGGATGACCAACATTTTACATTCTTAATATCTGTAGCTTGATATATCCTGTCATATAATGATATAATATTGTTTGTTTCAAGTTGTGTATATGTCTCCATTCCAGAAAACTAGTTGTGCATATGTATCTATTTCTGGAAACTAGTTATGGTTAGGAATGATAAGAACTTAAAGTTTAATATTTTTTCTTTCCAAACAAGTTAAAATCAAAAATGAGGTTGAAGTGTTCATGCAGGACATACAAGGTTTGATATTTTAAAACTTTTACAAATACTAGACCAGTCGGGCTACTTCCCATAATTTTTACTAGCCCTGACCATAAAATCACTAGCCCTGACCAAACTTGCAAATTCACTTCTTATAATCGATAATTTCAATGAAGTTAATTTGAAACAATATTCAGATCTGTTTACCCATATTATTGTCTCTAAGTATTTTTTATTTGATTTGTCAGTGTGATTTGGCATTTGCCAGTAAGATTTCACGTTCCATCGATTTTACATATGTACATATTACATACACTTAGAGAATAACTACATTTCTGATTACCAAAACATGGTTTAATAACAAAGAAAAACATATCTTTCTTTCAGGGGGTTATTGTCATTTTTTAAACCACCGCGACATCACTGAAGTGTTTTTGAAATCTTTCTCTTCTTTAGCCATTAAAAAGGGTCAAACTGAGACAGATTATAACGAAAACTAACTGCTAAAATCCAAACGATCGGATTTCCGATTTCCGTATCTTCATAATAGCAAAATGTGAGATGTATTTTGGACTCAAAATCCGTACAAAATACGGCGAAATTGTAAGAGTAAACAGGTCTGCATATTTAATAAGGACATCGTCTTCTGTGTTTGTCAATATTTTTGACAGATCAATATATAGGTCCCAGCCAACTGAGTCAGGTTCATCGGGACATTCGTGTATTATAAGCCTTAAAGAACATTCAACAAACTTTAAAATAAATAATAAAATAATTATTGTAAATATTAATAAATTAATTTAAACTACACTATACGTAAATATCTAAGAATATATAGTGTCATGCGGGAATTTTTCTCTTCACACAGCGATGGCTTCGGACAAATAAGATAATTTCTTACAGTTTTTAGATTATTTATTTGAAAGAAATGGGAATTTAAAAATTGTTTTATCAATACGACCAATCGGCCTAGTTCATGTACATTTTACACGACCGGACCACTCATTTACTAGACTGGGTCGGTCGGACATGCCTTAATGTCAAACCCTGCTGTGACCAGAGACATATAATATATGTCTCTGCTGTGACATATGACCCCATAAACTAGTTATGAGAAAATTCGAACCAACTCGGAATATTGACTTACCTCTACCAGAGAAAAGTTAATATCCACATCGGACTTTACAAACCCCCCACACCCTAAGACACCGTCTGAAGTAACATTTACAATTTGCAAAATAAAGAGAAAGAAACAGAACAACATGTTAGAAAACATGACGATCACGACACAATTCGCGTGTGTCGCTTTTTTACGGAAACAATTTGCTGAATGTATAATCCAAAATGAAGGTGCTTAAGTTCCGGAAAACTCCAGAAACTATGATACTTGATTTTATCAATTAATAGGGGTAATTTCTCATCATCATTCAATATCCTCTTAATTTTAAATGCAAATGTATTTAAAACTTCACATACTGTTTCACAGAAATTTGTATTTTGTATTGAATATTTTCAAAATTTGTTTTGTATAATTGTGTTTTACTTGCATTCATCCTCGCAAGCCAGGGGTCCTGAGTCAACACGTTGCCGTCCAACGGCAACGTGTTGACTCAGGACCCCTGGCTTGCGAGGATGACTTGCATTGTGTATTTAATATTTGTATTCTATGATTTTCTATTTGTATTCTACATTTTATTATTTATGATGTATAATTTCCATTTGTATTGTATTTTACAACTATGTATTTCTTAGATATTTATAATTAAAATACCACTTTCATAATTTTGATAGCCTTGCTTTTGGAGGCTTTGGTCCATGGGATTCAGGCACTTGTTTCTGTAATAAAAGTTTACCCCCCCCCCCCCCCGGCCCATATTAGTACATACGTATACTCGGACATATAATAATACTTTTGTTGTTGTTGTTATATAGTGGGGATAAACCTTAAACTTGATATAACGTACTTCATTCGAAAAACAAAACGCCCTTTCACCAGATAACAGTATACTGGTATCTCTTTGATTCCAAAATAAATTTTAATGCTAAAATCTGAGTCACGATTTATAGCACTACTGGTCAGAGACCAGAAGAGCTTAGATATCAATTAACATTGTTGCCATGGTATATAAAGCAGATAAACTAGGTGCATGGTTATTATGATCAAGGATGCCTCTTCCAAAATTGGTGAGTTTGTGGCTCCAGGGTGAGTGGTTCACGTGGAGGTGGGGTTCTATTGAATATATAGTGGAAATGATTTTTTTTATTTTGAAAATCTTCTTCTTTGCCCTTGGGTATTTAACAGAAAAACTAACAGCATGGTTATGATGAACAAGGATGTCTTTTCAGAGAGTTTGAAATTCATATCCCCCGGGGTCAGGGATTTTGGTGTTAGGGTGAGGCTCTTTTGAATATATCGGCGGTATATGGTAGAAATGAATTATTTTTTGTGAAAATCTTTTTCTCTGCCCATTGTTATTAAGGAAACATACTAAGTGTTGGTTAGGATGAGCAACGGTGCCTCTTCCAAAATTTTGAATATCTTGGCCCCTGGGTCAGAGGCTCCGGTATTAGGGTGGGGCTACATTGAATATATAGTAAAAATGGATAATTTCTTTGAAAATCTTCTCTGCTCTTTGTCATCTAGGAGGCAAAAAGTGTATATAAAGTTGTAATAAACAAGGATGTTATACCAGATTTTGAAATTCTGTACCCTTTGGTCAATTTACCAATTTCTACTGAAAGAAATTGTTCCCCTCTTGTTATTCACCTAGGATAGTTAATCAATGTAACTGAAAAGGTCAATTGAATAACAGATTTATACAAGAATTTTTATTATATTTAATGCTAAACGTACTTCGTAGTTTTTAATGGTCAGGAAGACTTTTAAATAATAGATAAATGAAAAAGGGACAAAAATACTGTATCTTTGTACATTAAATAATCTTCAAAGACTATGAGAGGCCGATGTGAAGGAAAATGAAATGTGTTCACTAATAGCGCTGTAGAACTTTTGTTTTGTTTAGTCCGCATGAGGATAGTAGCAAATGGGGGGAAAGTACAGGCAAATAAATGGATCAACTTTAAGATTTGTTACTGAGTACTAAATGAATATTTTGCTGATCTCTGATCATCCTATTTCTCTTGCTTTTGGGCAACATAGCTTTATTTATCATCTTATTTTGTTTTAATCTGTGGGTCATTACATTATACTCAGGTGACCGTTATGGCCCTTGGACCTCTTGTTGATTTTAATGAACGGGTGTTGCCATGGTTACTAAAAATAGAAAATTCTGTGAACTTCTTTCAAAATGCTACTTCTCCTACGGTTTTAATCCGATTTCAATGAAACTCTATACACAAATAGACTATAAGGTACTTAACTTTGTTTATCGTTTTTTTTTTATTTCAATGAACAGTTTTGCCATACATTCTTTCTTAAATAGAAATTTCTGTGAAATTCTTTTAAAATGCTTATTTTCATGCAGACAGTTTTAAACTGATTTCAATGAAACATTCTACTCAAGTGGACTTCATTAAGATACATTATTCTGTGTATCGGTTTTTGATTTTTATGATTGGTGCTGCACGGTTACTAAAAATAAAGTTTTCTTTTAATTTCTTTCAAAACGCCACTTCTCCTACAGATGATTTCGATAAATCTTTCAAACAAGTAGCCTACACTTCAAATATTCTGTGTATTGTTTTTTGACATTCTGTGTCGTCCTGGTTAAAAAAAATAGACATTTCTGTGAAATTCTTTCATAAGGCTACTCCTCCTACAGTTTTAGTCTGATTGCAATTAAACTTGCCTTAAAAAAGACTAAACCAAGGTTATTCTATTTATTGTTTTTGTCGTAGTTTCAAGTCCAAGTGCCATCTTCCTTGTTCCTTTGTTTTAAGTTCAAATCAGTAGAGCTACAGTCTCGTGAGAGGCTTCTTTTATTCTCACTCTAGTGTGCCATTTTAAAGTCATACTGTGTTCGGCACCATTAACCCACCATATAGAATTTCATTCGTTTTGTGAATATCATGTTGAGAGAGTCAAACACCTACTATTCTTTTTTGCAAAGAGATAAATACTGGTTAAAAAAATCCAACATGTCAGGCCCGTAGTAACGTGTGTGTATGTGTGTACGGGGGGGGGGGGGGGGGGCTTAAAATAAAAAAGCGGAAACTGCCCAAACTCAAACTCGATAATCCTATTTCGGGGGGGGGGGGGTTGCCAGTGTTCCACCATGCAGCAACAAAAAGAGGGAATTTGCCACTGTTCGCGATCGACAGTACAGCAACAAAAGTTGTGTGTGTGTGTGGGGGGGGGGGGTGGGGGGGTTAAACAGCTTTAAATGAAAATTTACATAGTAAAACTACATCATAAAACTACCCCCAACACCACCACCGCGTACTACGGGCCTGCATGTATATTCTGAATACACAGAGAGGGGTAACACATAGAAAATTATTATATTTTCAAATATACCACATAAGACATCCTTTTTGAAGAATTGGTTGGAAATACATTTTTTTCAGAAAAGACTTATTTACTTTTTTAAACTTTTAACTTGGAGATAATATATTCTTTGTATCATGTGGTGTAGCAATATCGCTTTGTACACTTGAACAATAACTGTTCTTGGATACTAAACTCTCTGTAAATCATTTTTTCCGTTCCATAAAAGTCAGCAAATATCAGTAACATCTTGTCAAATCGATAGCTAGATAGAGTGTCATGACTTCTCAAATGCTTTAGAAAACACATACATTTACCAAGGCCATAAAAAGTTACAAGTTGAAGTGTAATTAATTAATAACACGAAGACTTGTCGCGCAAAGCCAAGCCTAAATCCTTAGAGTGATAAAAAGGCTTGAAAAGCAAAGCAAGACTGTGACAAAGGAAATAAGTTTTCAAGACCAGGACATATAATGAGAAACACGATTTACTTAGAAAATATTTAAACAATCAATGATGTTTTTAGAGTTTTTTTTCAAAAGGGAACATGTTTCGCAAGTGTCACAATCCCTACGAAATTCAATGACCTTAATTAGCATTCTTATTAAAATCAGAATACTTATATCCGCGCCGTATACATTTTGTGTAAGAATGTACATACGGCGCGCATGTAAGAAATCTGATTTTGATTAGATTGCCGTAATGCATTCTTAGGCCATAAGGATTTATATAAGCGGCTTAAAAACTACCCCCACACTCAAAAAAAAAAAAAAAAAAAAAAAAAAAATCCAGCTTAATTTTAGGTATAACAGCAACATCAAAAGTAAAACACCAAACATTTAATTATAACTGACACAAAAGACGATTTATGACTTCGTACTAAATATCTGTAGATCTTCCTCCTTGAGATGACCTTGCAGACAGTTCAAACTATACCACCACAGTTGTTCCTGATTTTCAACATTTCTGTCAAATAAAATGAAATCAAAATTTAAAAACTAATATTAAATTGACATTTTTGCTGAGTATTCTAAACATACTTTGTATTGCTATTCAATCGCACTTCCAGCAAGCCCAGAAAAAAAGGAATCGAGCTTAGCGCCAGTGAACGAACTGTTCAATCATTCGAAGTTGTTCTCTCTCACGGGAAAGGAAAGAAAGTTGCAGTTGGCATAAAATACATGTAAACTGATTAATAAATTATTGGACCCCCCTCCCCCCCCCCCCCAGTTTCTTACCGGCATGAACTAGTTATTATACATCAAAATAATTTGTTTAGAAAAAACGGTTGCTATTTTGAATTTGGTACCTACCATTAAGTTTTTTAAGATTGATATTAGGCAAGGTATACGCCGTACATGTAGTTATATACACGTAGTGTTAGCTGTTTAGGCAGATTCCGTAAATGAAGTCATTCCAAGAATGAAATAATATCATTAGCTGTACAACACTGAAGGTGATATGGCTAATCCTATTCTCTTTAGAGAAGTGGACAGACTTTCGCCTACATACATGTATGCGAAAACCTGTCCACTTCTCTAAAGAGAATAGGCTAATCCGATTGCAACTTGACTGTCCAGAGTGTGGAAACTACTATTCCTTATGATTAAAACATATTGTCATAATGTACAGCGTTTTTGTAAATTTTTGCTGACAAAGAGCAAAGTTCACTTGGGGCCATTGTTGGCCCTGTGAATTTCTGAAAAATCAAAAATATTCAGTTTTAGTTGAAAATACATTAAATTTCAATTGAACACTTGGTGACTGTATATCTATTGCAAATGACCTAACTTTCTCGCTAGTCCATGTATTATGACGTCATGAATCTATTCATATTATCTCAAATCTTGAAAATTTCTTCAAAAAAATGGCCAAAAATTTAAGCTTTATTTTCAATATTTTCCATAGAACCTACCTCTGGTCCAAAATGTTCAATTATATATTGAAAGAACTGTTTCAGACGATTATAATTCATGTTGTATTTTTTGGATCGAGGGGTGGGCTCATAATTTAATTCTTTGCTGAAGGTACTCAAACACACCAATTTTCTTCAAAATTCAAGAATATTGCAATTTCACAAAGCCTGTGTTTCAATACCTGGACTCGACGAGGAAACTTTTTTTTTTACAGGAAATGAAAGAACTAAGTCTTTACTTTATAGTGATGTTTGAAATGGGGCAATTATTGGTTTATTGGCAGGGCCATTTTATGGATAATGCGAACCCTATCTCTTACAACTAAACTGGTATATATGTACAGGTACAATTATTACACTCACAATTTCCACCAGCAAAAAAAAAAAACATTGAAATTCTTTTGTGCGATATGGAATTCAGATATAAAATATGTGACATGAAAAAGAGAAGGTTATATCCGAACGTGCATTTTAGCGATTTTCACCCTTAATTAGCCCGAGATCATATTACCCAACTAATCCTAGACACTGTACGTAACATCGACATCTTCACTTTTCTTTCTTGTTCTATCACTAAAAAATATCTTGGGATTGTAAATAAAATGGAGGATAAAAATAATACAGTTGTAATGAATTCAGATCAATATATATCTCAGAAGCCACAACTGCCCACAAGGCACGAGATAACTTAATTAAAGGTAGAAAGGGGGTGTGGGTGGGCTAGGTTGCAATGGGCAAGTAATATCAGACACAATGTCTCTGATAAATACACCGGTCAAATATTTTCTTTCCTTGGCAATCAGAGCCAATCACAACAGAAAACATACTAGATGGACAAGTAACGTCGGAGCCCTAAAACTCCTGTCACACCGGGACTGCGTCCTCACAGCGATCGCACGGCGTTCATAAAAAATGCAAAACGCCGAGGTGAGCGCAGTAGAGTCTCCTACAGCGCCGTGACAACGCGGCGAGATATCCACTGAACGCGGTAGGGTCGCGTAGGGTCTCCTAGAGCGCCAGGGGACGGCGCGCACTTTGGGCACGCACAAAGTACGCGCCGTGTGATCGCCATCTGATAAGAACGCAGTAGAAACGTAGTATGATCGCCGTAGCAGCGCGGTGAGGTCTCCAACAACGCAGTTGGAGCTCCGTACGCACGCCGTGAAGACGCACATGATCGCAGCATGAACGCAGTGATAGAGGACTGCGCTTTCACGGAGACCTCGCGGAGTTCTTGGAGATGTCACTGCGTTTCTGTCGCGCTTTTACGGCGCTTCCAATGAGATAAATTGTCGAGATTTATTGACTGCGATTACACAGCGACAAAAAGGAGTTGTCACCGCGATCATTGCGCTCCCTTGGCGTTTCTACCGCGTCCGTCTGCGATCACAATGTGCTTTCACGGCGTTGTTAGAACGTTGTCAACCAGCTTACAAAACAAAGAGCAATGGCCTCATATTTGATCAGCAATAATTCTAACGTATTTGTTGCACTCCTGGCCAGGAGCATGGGAGTGGAATTGGGAAGTAAAAAATTACACCAGAACCTGTTGCTCAGTGGAGTTGCGATGGAATTACTTAAATTTTATAACAACTTTTCAGTGTGTTTATTTTTTTATATTTATAATAAAATCAAACAAAAAAAAAACACATCTGAATTGATATAATTGAAAAAAGAAAGGTTTTAATTATAAAACTGTCAGTAATTTAGTACTGCATTATTCAAATAGATCATTTTTAATTAAAGAATATTTCTTGTCATAAGTAGAAGTCTTTTCGTCATGTGACTTGAATCTTTAAAAAAAAATGTGTTACACTCCTTCTGAATATATATCCATAGTGAAGAACGCATTATAAACGTATTGTGAACGCAGCAAGCGCAGTGAAAACACCGTAAACGCGAGATGACAACTCCTAACACGCCGCAAAAGCTCCGCGGAAGCGCAGTCAATCGCGAGGAGATCTCCGTGGGAACGCAGTAGCACGCCGCGAGAACGGCGTAGAAACGCGTGGGTCGCTGTAGGGACGCCGTGACATCTTCACATTGTAAAATTTTTACAGAAATTTTTGCAATTTCCCTGCGATTCCACTGCGATTTTAAAATTTTTACAAAGCCATAATAACTCCGTGTGGACGCAGCTTGGTGTGACAGGGCCCTTACATACCTAGCTTCGGAGGACGAGTTAGCAGGGGTGCACTTGTCGAAGTAGATATCCCTCAAACCGACGTGTTTCCGGTTAATGGCGGCGTCGATGCTGGTTATTGCGCCTTTGTATGGAGTTATAGCCAAACCTGGATGGGATAATGAATCATTGTTTTCTGTAGACACATAAATGTCAATTTTAATGCACAGTTTCTAAAATAATCCATTGAATTGACATGCACAAAGGTTTTTAAAACTGTTTTCTAATTTTTCATTCTGATGATGCACGCAAGGTTTAGTAGATAGACATTTGTGGACGAGGTTTTACAAGCACCTCCTATGCTACTTAAATAGCTAATTATCACAATGTGATTGATTTTCAGAACTATATCTTTGTATAACACGAATGTTACAGAGTTTGATCACAAACTACAGACGGCTTTTTCTATACAATAAAAATTGTAACCTTTAAAAAAAGATTCTGTCGATTCTTCGGTGTTGATTCACATTGCACTAAACGACACAGAATCTCTGAATAATTCAATCAACTAGAACTTCAAAAATATCGCCGCTTTAATAGTTAATATTTTTGAAAATTTTGATGTTAGCTTTTATTTAAACGTCTCTTACAATATGCTGAGTTGTTTGCCCTGTGACTGTAAATTCTGGAGTCAAAGATTGGGGGCGTACAAGGCGAGGACAATCCTCACTCTGAGAAAATATTCTTCTCAATTTTCAAGATCAAGGAAAATTTTTAATTTTCAAAATTATGTTGTCAGTAGTGTTTTCTTTTACACATTTGTTTTATGTATTTCATTGAATAATTTATTGATTGATAATTTGTTTTTAAGCTGACTGTTAAACTGAAGCATATTTAATGAAAAATGGGTCTATCAGAGCCATTTAAAATGATTTTTGAAAAATGAATGGGTCAAGTTAAGTCTCCATTTTACATAACGCTTAAATGGCAGAAAACTTAGTATAATATCTTTTTTTATGCTTTAAAAAACGGAGTCTAAACCCATTCTATATGAAAGATACAAGGAGACTGCGTAGCGAAGTGATCAACGCGTTTAATATTACGACCAATCGCTAGCTTTGGAGCGAGTTCAAATCATGCACGAAGTTCTTTTTTTCACATACTTTAAAAACATAAGTGAAAAATAATTAAATTACTCATCAAAAAATAATTCAATGAAATAAGGGAATCAAATATGTTAAAGATGATACTATCAACACAATTTTTCTATGAACTTTTAGAATCTTGTCTCAGAGCAGGGGAGGAGGTCCCTTACTTTGTACACCTCCATTCCTTGAGAGACCCAACCTTTGACTATTTATTCTGAGCCCATTTTCAAAGTCTAGTTGTAGTCACTTCCTTGTTTAACAGCATTGCGACAAAAAAGTCCTAATTAATTAGACGAAGCTTCATTTACCGATACATTTTGCACACTTATATCTCCATGTCCACGAACAGTCATCCCTAAAGGACCGTGTGAACTCCGAGTCCACGACACCCGGATGTAACGAGTTCACAGTGACATTCGATTGGTCAATTCGTCTATTTAAACAGTACATCTGCATCACCTGCAAAGACGGAAGTTGAATTTTTTCTTTACATGCATGAATCGTGAAATCCAGGAAATTCAAATAATAGCTTTGATCAGCAGGATATAGGGAAAGCATTATAAAAATAATCATCGAGAGGTATCAGCTTTATCTATGTAAATTGAAGGAAAACAAACAAAGGTGAAATAGATGTAATCACATTAATTGACATTGACTATAATTTTTGATTGCAGATTCAAATATCCCTGTAAGCCATTCTGTTACAACAAGAGATGACATGGAAAACTGCGGTGCTCAACCTCCCAATTCTGATCACAATTTTACTTGATTGATTTATTTATTTTATTGATCTCAATCAAATCATATTTTCCTCTTTTCTATTCCAACTTCGTCTTACTTGATAAAGCTTCGATTTGTAGTAGTAATCAGCCCGGTCAAAATTAGCCTCATTGTACTGTTTGGCCTGTATTTTATCTAGATCGAAGGAAGTCCACTTGTGGGCAATGCTGGACACCAGAACAATGCGACAATCAGAACCACTTCTCAACATAACAGGAAGCAATTTCACAATTATTAGGAAATGTCCTAAGTAGTTTACCTACAAAAATACATTGTTAGAAAAGTCAAGCTTAGCTCATAAGGTACCTCAGCTAGACAAAAAAGCATAGAGTTTACTACAGTGTATTTTATGACTTCTACAATAAGAAAAAAATGTTACTACACTTTTACTGATATTAAAATAAAACCCACTAGCATCAACACGATTCTGGTCGATCGATTATATTTGAAAGGAAAACACAATGAACTTACTTGAAACATCATCTCATTTCCGTCTTCCGTATATGCTAAAAAGTACATGTTCATTTAAAGCAAAGTTAGCATCTATAGGGCTTTTCATACAAGAAAAAATATAATAAACTGTGTTCGTATATAATCTCTATTTAACAATGCTCACCTAAAGGATGCATGCCAAGACCGGCATTACAGATTAGAACATGCAGTAATTTGCCCGAGGCCTTAAATTCTTCAATAAACTTCTCAGTCGAGTTCAACGATGAAAGATCCAGCTCCATAAACTCCAATGACAGCTCCCCTGTCGTTAAATTGGGGGTCCCCTTCTTTTTCTCATCTTCAAAATCCGCCTTCATTTTCGTTGTGGCCTAGATGGTAAATAGACTAAGTCTGGAATCACAAGAACCTTTTCCCCTCAAGAGTTAAATTTGTTATAAATGTATAGAAAAATAATATTGTATATATTCTATGCTTTGTTTAGGTAAACTAAAATTGTTGGGCCAGTAATCTAATACATGCACATGTGTTTCTTTACGTATTTTATACATCAGATGTAAAGGATAGATTATTTGACAGGGTACTTATTATTACAGTTGATTTATCACAGACACACATGGAAATATAATTATCCAAATAATCGTAAATTCTACAAACAATTTTGAGATACTAACATGCATTGCACGATCCTTTGATCTACATGCAATGATTACATGTGCCCCCAACATAGCGATCCATTTGGCTGTCTCATAACCAATACCTGAAAAATAAATAGACAGTAGACTTGTACCCACCCCACTCTGGGTCCACCCCGATTAATTGTGAAATTGGCATTGCGTGAGCAAACTATTGTTTCAATTGATACATAAATAATTTTTGTAGCAAAATGATCAGCAACAAGACATTAATAATTTTGCAAAATTTAGAAACACATAAAAATTAAAAGGCACTTCATCTTAAATGTAAAAGGAATTTTAAGTGTGTGTAATATGTTCACGAGTTACCGTTCCTTGTAGTGCTTCTTCAACTATCAGGTACATATATACCCAGAAGTTAAGTATAACACTTTGTAATCACTGTAACAAGTAATCTTCAAAAACATTGTTTATAGATCCATTCACTATTTCTATTTAAAAACATGTACCTGTATTTCCTCCCGTAACAATAACGATCTTATCGGAGCTCAGTGTTTCCCGGGGAAACGAGGGCGATCCTCCCATTTTGACAATATCCTCCTTTCAGGTGAGAATTGACTGTCACAACAACTTAAAAATTTTAACAAAAACAACTGTCACTGTTGTGATCACGGTAACTACATTGTATCCGCTTTTGGGTAGAAAGTTAGTCATAAGGGATGTAAATCATTACCAATTGCGTACGATTAAGATACCATGTACTGATCAAACAAAATCAGTTAAAGAGAAAGTAGAGGTACTCGTGTATGTAAATACGATGTCCTAAATACGGACCAGAGTTCAAGGAGCAAATATGAGGAAGAAATGATGTGAGTATGCTTCCCAAAAATATGCTCTTACATGTGGATTATCTTTTACGCATTTTTAAATATAACATGTATCTCTTTTTTAAAAAAAAAAAAAAATAATTAGAGACCTATGTACACCATAACTAGCTGACACTGAAACAAGTTTTTGCAGACAAAATATTTTATAAAAGTAGGGTCATTTAATTTGGCCACAAGCCAAGGGTCAAGCAGGGACAAGCAAGATCTACACACATAGGCGCCGTAACGATGGAAAGCAAATCAAAACTACACGATCTCCTTTGCTCATACAATATCATACTTTTATCCTAGTAGAGGAGTCCAAATCCATCCGCATGCTATATAATCAATATATATGATATTAACATATATGAGGATGCTTTGTTGCGGTTATTAAACACTTTTAGGGCAAAACTTTGTTTAGACCTGATGTAACTATTCTTATTTAAATAAAAATATAGGATGATTCTTATTATCTGTTTATTTTCCAGGAACCATCAAGGTTTGCGCAAATGTTGTGGATATATATAGAAAAATACACACACAAATTGACGTCTTCGATTAGACAAACTCGCACAACCACTGGCACAGATAAGCAAAAGTTATTTTTATGAAAACCTGAATGCTCTAACGACTCTACAGATTAATTAGAGACTGAATTTAGAATTTAAATTTTAGCACATGACGTTAGTTTTTTAAATTGACCTGATTAGCACTATCTAGGAACTAGCAATTCGAGTAAATTAAGGAAGAATTATCATGTCGTTTAGTTAAATTTAAAAATCATAGATATCGTATTTTATTAATTTTACACGCAGAGAGATCACAAACTTTACAGGAGACATTTTCGTATAATCAACCTCCTTCTGTATAAAACTTGCAATTTTACATTGAAAGTTTTCGACACATCCTGTACATATAGATATGTCTCCTTCTCTTGGGTAAATATTTCATGAGTCATGATGAATATACATTCAGGCATACATACAGACAAAGTAACATGACCCCAAAATCTTTAGGATTCTTGCTCTTGTAGTAAATATTTCTGTACCAAATTTATTTGCTGTAAGTGACAAAACAGGCATGCATGCATACATATTTATTATGTGACAAAAATATATCGCAGACCAGTAATTTTTAAGGTTGAATGTAATTATGTTCTTTTAGTAAAAATTTGCTGGTATATGTTGGTCCATTATATTCATTACAAAGATGCAAAGAATGTATGTGTATTAGTGTTAAATTATATTAAAATCCACGCAGCTACATAATTGCATCATCAAATTATTTACAAAGTTTTTAAAATAAATTTCGTCCAGGTCCACTGTATCAAAAGCCAGAGGAGCTTTAACATCACTGAGAAAGTTCTGGCATCAACACCGTCTTCAAGAGCAAATAGTCCTTGGTGCAGAATCGAGGAAGTTAAATAAAGAATAATCAACAGCATAGTTGTTTTCCATACCCGATGTCTTCAAAGGATACTTCGAATCTTCAAACCAAATATCATGAGCAACGAAGACTTGTAGGAGAACAAACACCCAGCAACTCTCCACAAAGATCAAGGACCATCGGTAGAGAAAACTTGTACAGGAGAACAAACATCCAGACACTCTCCACAAAGATTTAGGACCGTCAGCAACGAAGACTTGTAAAAGGATAACAAACACCCAGCAACTCTCCACAAAGATTTAGGACCATCAGCAATGAAGACTTGTACAGAAGAACAAACACCCAGCAACTCTCCACAAAGATTAAGGACCATCATCAACAAAGATTTGTACAGGAGAACAAACACCCAGCAACTCTCTACAAAGATTTAGGACCATCAGCAACGAAGACTTGTACAGGAGAACAAACACCAAGCCACTATCCACAAAGATTTAGGACCATCAGCAATGTACAGAAGAACAAACACCCAGCAACTCTCCACAAAGATTAAGGACCATCAAAAACAAAGACTTGTACAGGAGAACAAACATCCAGGAACTCTCCACAAAAATTAAGGACCATCAGCAACGAAGACTTGTACAGGAGAAAAAACCCCAGCCACTCTCCACAAAGATTAAGGACCATCAATAATGAAGACTTGTGCACTCGGCCACACTCCGCATAATTAAAGTCCATCAGTAACGAAGATTTGTACAGGAGAACAAACACCCAGCCACACTCCACAAAGATTAATGATTCACTCTCCATAGAGATTAAGGTGGATAGACCATGCATTCAGGATGCCCTCAGACTCCATCCTTAGAGTGCACCGAGATGGACTCCTGTAGGAAAGAGAAAGAGAGGAAGATCTAGAGAAACACAGAGTCCGTCCACTGGTGAGATGACAGAGAATGGATGAACATGGGGAAAGATACAACTGTGGTCCCAGGATAGATAGCAGTGTGTAAGACTATGGTAATGGACTAATGTGCAAACCAGCACATGAAGTATTTAAGTATTTTCACTACTCTAACTTACCGGTAAGCTTGAATATAATTATCAGTTATTCTACGATAAAAGGACCAATGCAGGGTATAAAACATGGAAAATTAATTGCTTCAAAGACCCAACTAAACAACATAATTATTTAAAGGATATATTAGTGCATGTGAAAGAAAGAAAATTATCTAAAAGTCTGGTATCGTTATCTTTTTACGAAAATTTCGATATACCGGCAGTCATAAGGCAATGTTATGGAAATTAATGCTAAACAAGACTCATTATAATTTAGATAAACCCGAATCTGACCTATTTTTCGTTTTCTGATGTTGAGTATAGAACGGTATAACATGAATTTTAAAGTCTGGCACGAATATGGTAAATCTAAAATTTCAGGGAAAATATCGTTACGTAAGTTACTTGTAATCGTTATATAAGTTAATTTTTAGCATAAGTTGAACTTCTCGGCAATAGACATAATTACTTAACGTTTGTTTTAAGATACTAATCAAAAGTATAAAGTAAATCGCTAACATTAAAAAATGTTATTTGGTCAAATTTTTGTAGAATGACTGTGATAAACAATTCCCTCTTCTCCAAAAGAAATTCAAGTAACATATTCAGGATTCATGAGATGAGAAAAACGCAATCATAAAGTACCAAATTTTAGCGTTTCTTATCGCTATGGAAATTATATGACCAAAATATCACATCACTAAATGGTTGTGAAACATAAGTCAATCATGACAAATAATTTGCATGGATCAAACCAAGCACATGTCACACTTAACAAGAAGCATACAGCCTACATACTTTTTGATTATACAATAAGCGAAAATTAAATTTCTTGGCTCTGAAAAAATTATTGAAGAATTTTAATGAAACTTGAGCATATCATGAATAGTTTAAAGCGAAGAACTGGTCAAAATCAGCTTAATAACATTTTTTTCAAAATCAGAAGACCTGTGCTGAGGTGGTTGTGATAATCATCTAGTCGACTTGAATCGAATGCCTACTCTAATATGGGTCCTCTTCTATTAAACTATGCAATACTCAATTCTTACACAGTTTCATGGCAAACTTTACCCTTAAAGAAGTAGTTCCACTTGATCGAAGGTCTTACAACGCCACTTCTGAGAGAAGAAAAGGGATTCCGCTATATATTTTTCTTTGAATTGATATTCTTTTTTCTCAGATTACTTTTTATGCTCAATTTATGGCCAGACTTTTACAAAGAGCTGTTCATTAACACACGCACAAGTATTATTTTAGGATTTTCCTAGGACATTCCGCACCGGGCCAATTTCATCGGAGCACATTATTATATCCGCTGAGGCAATCGAGGGATTTTCTAAACGACCGCCAATTAATATCTATCGTTATCTTGTCATAGATGTGCATATGACCTTCGCATGGTTTATAAAAAAAAATCTATGTGATGAAATGAATCAGCTGGTATCGAAAAGTGCAAAATTTCCCCCAAACAGCGATTATGTTTGATAGATGAGAATGCTGTATGTATGTATATGTATTTTTTCAGATTTATCGCAAATACCGAAACCCCCCCAGAAAACTTGTTTTACTGTCTATCATTATGTTTATTCCACAGATTAAGCTACACTGATGTCAATGGCAACCTTTTACTATTCATGAACAAAACAATACTGTTTTAAGAAATATTTAACAAAGAAAGATTGATTGAATGTTGTTTTACGTCCCATTCGAGAATGTTTCACTCATATAGAGACGTCACCATATACCGGTGAAGGGCTTCAAATTTGGACCTTTACTCGGCACTCAGGACCAGTGATCAGTGAGGGTTCTTCATCGTGCCAATGCCTACCGTGACACGGGGCCTCGGTTCTTAAGGTCTCATCCGAAGGACCCGAAACTTTCACTTCAAAGTGCCGAGCGCCTGGCAAAGGAACAGTTGCTACCTTTTTTTATCGACTTAGGTCAGTCGCTGCCGTGATTTGAACACACAACCTTCCGATCACGGAGCAAGCGCTCTACCGACTGAGCTACCGTGACGATTAAAGAGACACCGTGACGGAAAAAGGGGAAAATTGACCAAAGTAGAATTTTTGCATGACACATGCAAATTTTATTCATTTCTTCAAGATATTAAGTTTCAGAAAATTATTGGTTTCAGAACCTTAAAAAGCTACTTTTATGGAGAAAAATAAAAGCAAAAAAAATTTCGTTTGCCTCAACACAAAAATATTGCTTCACTTCTTCCTCTTTATTGTACGCATACGCAGAAAAGTCGAAGAATTTATCATGGTGTCAATTCCATAGATATAAATGTCAGATGACCGAGGATTTTTAT